GGTTTTATTCCAGAATTTTGTGAACTTTTGGAATTCTTCTGGAATAAAACTTTTGGAGCTTCTCTGTATTGAACGATTTCCGATTGTTTAAAATGTCACACATTTTTTATCGAGTGGTCTCGAAAAATTATCGGTACGATCATTCATGCAACCATTAATCTGAACCCGTTTTAAAACTCAGTTGAAGTCCCCATAGCCGGTTTTAGGAATTATTGTTGTACACATGTATTAGGCTTACCACATAGTTATTATTTACAGTGGTTTTAAGTACTTTTCGGGTCTATTCCAGTTGGGGGGCAGTTTTTCCAAAAGCTTGGCTAACCCGAGCCAGGAGTCTACGGGGTGTGGAGGAGGGAGGGGGGTGAGGGCAGTCACTTGACATGCGTGAAAAGCTGGAATGTTCGAGTTCACACTAGTTCGCCGAGAAACTGCATCATGATGCCCCCCCCCTGGAACAGACCCTTCTTTCTTCTATTATGCGGTTAGGATCACCGTAGTTTCGGTACTGCCTCGTCTAGAAGGGTTCAAGAACCTGGTCGTGGCTCACAATGCTGCTAGTTTTTCGGAGGTCTACACTTTTAACGCCAATTTATCCCAATTTGGCCTTATTAGTTACTCTGTCGTGTTTCCAGTAAACTCTGAAAACCCTAACAGAAAGCCGTTTTTCACTATCTTTGTCCCTTTCTGTTTTCCTTTTACGTGTCTTAACGTTAAGCTTTTCTCCATATCTAGACCTTTCTATCGCTTTGATTTCCAGCTGCACTTTCCCATTAATTGAGCAGAAAATGACTTTTTTTATTTCTCTGAGTTCTGTTTTTTGCGATTTTTTTTCACCATGGATAGCGTACATTTGCTAATGGGAAAGCATCCGAATAGTTAAGATAAAGATATAATTAAGATATTGTTAAGATATATTAAAGTGGTGCAAATGTTGTGTTTAACATAATTATTTTTATGGTCCAAAGTTTAGTAGTGGGGAACCTGTTATGTCAGTGTAGAAGTGAATAAGCGAGATGTTTATTGGCATTGTCGGGTGGGTGTTTGTAATAATGACTACTAGTAGTAAGTGTTTTGGTGACGCATGGCTGAAAATCGCTGACATTTACCTGCCTTTCTCATGGTTACCGTTATTGTTACTGAGAAAATCTCATGTTATTTCTTTTTAATTAATGCTACGAGATATCTTATTTGAATGGGACAAAAATTTGAAAAATTCTATGGGATCATTTCAGTCTTATATGGTTTTCTTGAGAAATCAGGCTCCGACCAAGAGAAGCAGTCGTAGAAGACTTAAAGACAGGGGACACAATTAAGGTTTTGGAATGAGGAAGGTCATGTTCGCTTATCCCTTCAACGAGTCGCTCATCCTGGATATGCATGACCTCTGTCATCAGCATAAGCATCCTCTATGACCGGAGGGTTTTTATCACTCCGTTCCGATTTCCGACGTCCTTGTGGAGCTATGTTTCCCATAACAAGGGGTTCACGATTGTTAGCATGAACGTCATATCACATCATTATCTCATTAGCATGTGACGACCAATTGCCGTATGCATGTAAATAGCTCATATAAAATCTAGCTCAATTACGCCTCACCTGGTAAGCATAGGGAGTTCAGCCTCATTCTAGCGGCTTGGCCTTTTCCACCTGGACAACTGTCGCCAAACCGAGCTCTAGATTTTGTTCGCTTTAGTCAATTTATTGAGTGAAAATCTCTATTTTGGCCGCAACTACTGTTGGCCTTGTGGAGACCATAATAGGTAATTAAGTAATTAATGGGAGGTAATAGGTCATTAATTAGCTTCCGCGACTGTTTATTTATTGACGTCACGGGTGGTATAAAATCCCATCCCAAATCTAGGCAACCATATTTCCACGCTTCCGTGACGGACGTTGAAGTCATAGAAATGCTTTTTATGGGTCCAGTTATCGTCTCAATGGCGCTAATGTCTTTATGGGATCATTGAAATGAGTGAGCCATTTGAAGATTCTGGGATTAAGCTTTAGGAAGGGGGAGGGATTCTAGGGGAGGACGTGAGTATGCCCCCCCCTCCCCTTAGGACATGAGCGCCGTCGTATAACCAGCTTATCAGAAGCATGCACTGAATAGTGAATGGTAGTTAGCCGACAATTCACAAAAGGTACCAGATTTTAAAGTGGATGTTAGATTCCAGCCTCAAAAAAGCAAGAAAAAGGTGTTATCCGTAAATCCCGATATTATCCAACAAGAAAAAAAGAATTATTGTTCATTTTTCTCTTTTTTTCTCCCTGGAATGAAGAATGATAGTAAGCCTAAAGGAACTATAGCGTAGACTACGCCTCGGCCAAGATGAATCTGTTTTTGTCCTGCACAAGACACTACACCTCCGCCCACTAGGGGCCAGGGTGAGCCACACGTCGAGGCCAAATTGAAACCTGTGCTCCCTTCCGAAACCACAAATATGAACTCCCCCCCCCCCCTTTCCACACCAGAAGGCTCCACTCTCAGCCAAATGTAGAAAAGTTAGCATCTATGATTTTTCCGTCTTCCACTGCATAGAGAGGATTGTTCGCTAAAACACAAGGTAGTTCCCATCTTAATATCGAGGCTCAGCTTCCGCTAACTTTCATCCTGACTTCTGACTGGAAAAACTTCAGGTTGAACGAGCAGCTCGATCGCGGGAAGGAGCGACAGGCAAAGGGGTGTGACCAAAGTTCGTGGTCCGATGCGAGAACCTGAATCACCTGAGACACCTAGGGTTATGTTACAACTCGACAGATGCGCCCATTTTACGACCTATTGTCGTTTCAACGAATTTTTTTTAGGAGGAATCGGGCTAATTTCTTGGCGGTGTCTGTTAATTTGCGCCCCGTAATTACGTCCGCCCATCACATGACAGTCCTTCATATGGCAGCTGATTTCAACTACCATATGCGAGTGTTTGGGATAGCTTTGAGTACTGCACGATGACTAATGATCTGTGACAGGGTACAGGTCTTCATATGGGCGGCTTTCGATTGGTTTCATCTTATTAATTTTAATTCATCTCCTGGTGTATCCTTACCTAAAAAAACGAGCGATCAGGGGAGGGGCTTCAGCATAAGTTTGTTTTCCTTCTGGCATCTTCTTAACCAATTGCTGTGGCGTTTTTTCTACTGAGGCTCTTACTCCGATCCCTTGTCACGCTTCAGCGCTTAGTTCTAGGCGCCGCCGCTTTTGGGGGACTATTCTACTGTCTTTCGATTCTTCTATAGGCATCCAATTGAGAGAAGAGATAAGAAGCAAGAGCTCAATCTTTCCCTCTCTTCCCTGTCTCTTCTCTCTTTGTTTTAACAAGGAATTTTTGTCGTTTCTGATCTGAGAATTTCCAGCTAATTCGGCCTACTTTTTTTAAGAGCTGATTGAGTGTTCGCTCTTCTCACATGTTTCTCATTGTCACATTTTGTATGATTTTTGAAAACTGGTTTCTCTGTTTTTTAAACTTTGTTTTCGTCTTTTCAACAGAAATAATACCTCTCATTTGATGTATTGCTCCTCTCGGGGGTTGACGTGGTACAAATGATGCCGCCGTCTACAGCCCACATGAAGGATGACGTTATGGGACATATTGCTAGTATAGCGAGAGTCATCTGCCCTTGAGAGACCCATTGTTTACTTTTCGCCTTGCCAGCTTCTCATTCGCACACTAATTTAGAGGGAATATATACATCTCACCCCGGGACACAACCATATGGTGACCTTCGATTACTGCTGCAAGCCTCTACAAATTGTTTGGTGAATGACCCAATGTTAAGATTCACGGCGCGAAGCGACCAATCAATACTCGAGGTTGCAATGAGTCGCGACTGGAGACAACTTTGACTCCTTGGTGACTCGTGTCCTCATGGTTGGACGCATTTTTTTGTCCTGTGGGACAAGGGGTCCCGATGTTAGCATGCGGCTAAGAAAAAATTCTTTTTGCGCAGGTTTCAAATTTCCAGTGGTGACTTACCAATTGCCAACATTTTTTTGCACTTTCAGGCATGGTATGTTCCTCACTGCCACAGTTACTGTTTCACACGTGTTGTTCCGATTTTAATGTGAGAAATTGAAAGTTTTCGAGCTTTTTACCTATTTCAAGCGGGGGGGGGGGGGGGAATTTGTTCTTGATTCAGAGAATTTGGCCAAGGTTCCGAGACGAATGAAATCTCGGCCCTTTCCTGCTTTAGGTTCTAACCAGGGTCAACCTTCCGTTCGTCCGATCCGTATCCTAAAGGAACAGACTGGAGGTGAGGCTCATAGGGAAGGGGGATCTTAAAGTTTTTGGGAATCGCCTCGCTTTGTTCGACGCTGGTTCTAACCCCTTGGCATACATGTTGGTGTAGGGGCACCCTCACACCGAGTCAAATTTTTCTGGAATAAAAAATCGCGCGTGGGAGCAGACATTTAAGAATGTGCCATGGTGTTGGAAGTCGCTCAAAGCTGTGAAGCTCTCTGTAATTTCACGTTCTTTACAGCATTTATAATAGGAATTTTTCACTATTCGCTGAACCCAAGAAAATTTTTTAGCCTACTTTTAGTGGTTGGGTAGAAGGGCGTAGGGGGGTTTATGTGTAGACGCTTTAACCCTTTGGAATCTTCACTTCGATGACAGAATTCGTAAAGTTAGTGGTATCTTTACTAGGTTGAGGGCTGGGATGAGGGCCACTCGTGGCAATGATCTCTGAGTTCGAGGTTTGTTTTCGGTCATAACCCCCCGTGTCGTGTCTTATCATTCAACATATCTCTTCGCTTTCGATTCGGCCCCGATTTCGTTACACCTGCACTAGATTGCATCAGTATATGGTAATCGAATAAACTAGTTACCATTCTCCTCTTCTAATTATGCACAATTACTATTACTTATCGAATACTGTGGTAGTATCTGAGTATTTTTGAAATTTTGCTCGTTTTTAATGATTTTCCATTTGCTCTCTCGTAGTCCGCGTCTTGTTCTGAGTAGTGATATTCGTATTTTATTTCATGAATTTCAGAAGAGGTTGCACATTATGGTGCAAACCTATCAATCACCCGTTAGGGTCTATAAACACCCTTTTGAATTAGTTATAGCGGTGAGTATTATTTATATATTTTTGTGCTGTTAAGTAATCCTTAATCGGATTAGGTACTTAATCTTTATTTGTCATACTTGCGCTAGGGTAACAGTGATCTACCAATCGATATCCTGCCTGTTAAGCATTGCGGAAGGCAATAGGCTAAAAATTGGACATGACACTTATTCCAGTAGTTCCATTCTTCAGCAGTTTTTTTTGCAGTACGCAGTCTGACTGTATGCCTATAATTAATCGATAAAGTAAGCCGACTCGACAGGTCTCATTGGTTGCCTCACGGTCCAGATGCCTATTGATTTAATCGGCGCGGAGGGACTTCTGACCTGTTATAACGATTGGTGTGAACACAATTCGGAGTAATTATAGTGCTTCAAGAGCGGCAAAATTTTTTTCATCCCTTCGATTGAAAAGTAGCGAGAGCAGAGACGCAGAGGAAAGGTTGAAGAGCGCGATATGTGACGCCCTTTTGCACACGTTTCAGGGCATAATGCTAACGAACAGGATATTTGAGCTGTGTGATTAATATGAAGTTCGTTTTTAGGCATATGAGAAGCGTTTTCCAACGTGTCCTCAGATTCCGATATTTGTCGGCTCAGAAGTTACGTATGAGTATCATAGCGAAGACGGTGCTGAGTGGGTGATTGAGCGGAAATGTCAGCTTAACGTCGACGCGCCATATTTGGTTAAAAAGGTCAGTGAGTCCGACAATACGGTATACTGATAATTAGTACTAGTTAAGTACATGTGACACTGAAGTACGCTAAGGCCTATCAAATTTGCCTGATGAAGCATAAGCGGTCGTGGCTCGACTGATAATGGGCTACAGCATATCTGTAGTGTATTGATCGAATTCTTTCTTATTACGGCGCGCCACGACCGCACGCATCTGAACAGTGCAGACACAGCTGTAAAGTAATTAATTGTCACCGGACAATTTAAAATGAATATTCCAGATTGCGGGTGTAGATTATATATATTTCACACAGAAGAACTCACTAGACCGACGGAAACGGACATTAGTAATTGAGGCGTCGAATATATCATTCTCGTCGCGGATCATTGTACGAGAACATTGTAATTATTATGTAAGTTTTGATTTTAAGGTTGTCTTAGGTTGCGTGAAGTGTTATGACAACCGTATGACTTTTTACTGCTGTTTATATTGCATATTTTTTTGTCTGGAAGTTGAGAGGATATTTTGACAGAAGTAATCCCTAAGCTGGACTCATTTCTCTTGCAAGACCCTAGAAACTGAATCTGTTGACTCATATGCTTTTCCAGTAAGCATGAGGGATGGAATGGGCAAAATTCTTGAAGGGGGAATCATAGCAGTAGTGTTTGTTTGTGATCATGATATCAACATAAATAGGTTGATGGATTATTTTGGTTTTTTAGGTTCATCCTGAGAATCCGAATTGGACGTGTTTCGAGCAGAATGCGGCTTTAGACGTAAAGTCGTTTTTCGGCTTTGAGACGGCCGTCGAAAAACTTGCCGTTAAACAATACGCAGCTAATTTGGCCAAGGTGAGCTGGGTTTTGCTGGTAAATTTATTGTTCAAGATGCATTGGAATAGGGAATTACCAAAAACATGGATTTCCATGTGGTTCTATTAAGAGAATCCGAGAATTATCGTGGAGGCCTTCCATCGCATTCGTTATTAATGCTTGTCGCCAAGCAAGAGGAACGCTGTGCATGCGAACACGCGTATGTGATTGGTTGATTGCGAGCGAACACCAATGGCGCGAAGCATACCCACGGTCGCGCCCTCGAATAATTATGAAATGCATTCGTTCTAGATGCCATTTTAATCTATAATTGGGGCAAATTTTAATTGGGACTTCTCTGCTTATTCAGAAATGGCCTTTTTTCAAGGAATATCTGGGGATTGTTCTCGAAGTTTCATGGTCTATGAAGTATTGTAAAGTACCGATCGTTTGATGTTGCGATACCAAATAACTTGTGCGTTGAAACTGGTTTGCGCTGAGTTTTTCCCCAGTCGGTCGTTCTGTCTGTATCGAGTAAATGGGAAATGGTGGTAGCAGTAAACAGAAAAGACGTTTGTCACGGCTGCTTTCCAAAAAACCCGTAGATTTGATACCAGTAATGCGTTTCAGGTGAGGTGAAGGGGCGTAGTGTGAGTCGTGTGAGAATGCGAATAGCGGTGGTTCTCAAGGGCTATTGAAACCGGGAATGATTAAAGGCTTTATAGGGAAAGGAGATTCTCGAGTACTTCATCGACGAGTTAATAAAAAGTGGAGTGACGTATATTCCGCAATTCGAAGACAAGGACAATAACTCAATCGCCGACTCGGCAATCGACGTCTCGAAAGAGCAAGCGGATGAGGAAACGTGGGTAAAATGCTTACCGGAAGGCCAAATGGCCGCTAATTAAGCTTTTTAATATGTTAACAAGTTTCGGAACCGTACCTGTGATATGTTGAATACCAGATTGTGATGCTATTCGATTCTATTCTAATGTACATATCGGTTATTGTGTGATAAAAATTTACATGACGTCATCATCTGGCCATCAGTAGCTTATTTCCAAATTATGGGAACCTTTGTGTAGTTGCGGCATTATCATGCGACGCGGTTTTGCGCGCGGTTGCCGAAGCTTCGCGCAGTTTTGCAAATATGTTGTAAAATCTACAAGTTGAATTATAGATCCCATGTAATAATTGAGTATATCTAATCAAGTGAACACTCTTTGGATTATTAAGAAAATTGCTTCCTTACATTAAGGTTAATCTTTGTGAACCTAGCCGCTCCGCGACCACACGCGAGGCTCTGAAGTGGCCATGTTCCGTTATGGACTAGAGTGGGAAAAGTAGTGGATGAGTTGAAAGCTTTTGATCATCTTGATTGTTATTCGAAGAGATTTTGTCCAGCATTTTTTGTGCGGTACGTTCCGGATTCCGATTTCCGTATGTAGGCAAAATGATCAGATTTGGGTGGCTGTTTTCCTTTTGTTTTCGAGCTTTCCATCCCAAGCATCCATGTCCATTTGTTACATTTAGGTCATAGTACTTTCAGTACATTTATATTAGTAGAGCTGCAACCAAGCCTTCAGGCGATTATAGCATCCCATAATCTGAGTTGTGATTTTAACATATTCTGAAATGTGTACATCCAATTTCTGAGTCCCAACAGTGCAGTATTTGGCCTTTCCCGACTTTCTTACCTGATGGACGAGTTCCTTAGCTTAAAGTAGCTTGCAGCATTACCGTAATCGGCGATTTCTGCGAGCCAGACATTCTGCCTTGAATTTCTAGGAGAATGCTTGCCAATATCTTATAGGTTTCATGCAAATAACTTTTTTCGTTGAAATCTCATCGCAGCAATAGCTGGCAGAAATTTCGTGTGAAAAATGAAAATGGTTTTTCAATACGAATTTCAGGCATGTTGTGATGCGACGCGAATCGAAGCCCATCACGGATATGCAGGCGATGAAGAACTCGACGAGTTTTGATGATCGTAAGTATTGATTTATTGATTATTCGTTCATGCGAGAGCTGCAACGGAGTTCCTCTGAGTGTGAATGAGTTAGGACGAACTACGAGAACATTTCGCTTTGCTGGTTGAATGTCATGCGAAGTAAACCGGCTGATAACAAGGATTATCCAGATTATGCGGCGTGTCTTCCCCGTTGACCCTTGATTGCGATTGACGTGCAACGGCGTTGTAAAGCAGTTTTTGGATGACCATTTTCGCCGTTAATGAATGCAGTCTTTGCAAGGGTCGGTTACAATGAGGATTAAGTGAAAAAGAGCGGGGTTGAAGGAGAATGAGAAAATTTGACTTTTCCAGTGTTACATCCAGCCGCAATCGTGATTGGTCACATCAATCCCCATGCGCGTTGGCGTGTCGTGATTGGCTAACTTATCTTGTGATGAGTAGGGAATCTAGTTCTAAGTAGTTTACGATTAAATTATTGCGCATATTTCTGATATCTATCTGTCTTTGCACAATCCTCAGGTTATAGGTATTTAAAGGTAATACAACTGGTATAGATCACCCGCTATACATTTAGCTTAACATCACAATACCAGTCTGCAACAATGAGCACAATTGGACTTAAAAACGTGCGTGCTGGTTTATAAGCACATATCTTTCTGCTGCATAATAACGGTGTTAAAAATAGCGTCTGATCTTATTAAAACTTTCACTTAAGTGACTTAGTTAGTGATAAATTGTTAGCTATGGATTACAAACTGCGGTTGGCAGATATGACTGGTTTTTTGAGCGGTTAGCCAATCATGGGCTGGCTGGGCACGCGCCACATATTTCTCTTGATAGGGTCGCATTTTTTATAACTTCACAATACATATGTACATCTTAGTTTCTTTTTTTACCTGTTGTTTGATTATCAACTGTAAACTTACCCATGAAACCTTACGCTGGGCGTGCGTGCGGTCGGAGTCATTCCGTGTAGTGCGCCCTACTCATCGCACTTTTTGTCTTTTTCAAAGGGAAATCCTTCAAAGAGAAGGGTGCAGTGGACCAAACGACTCCGCCCACGCGTATGGCGTGGGATCTATGTATCTAGAAGTTATATTGTGAAACTTTAGTGGCACAACTTCTGTGAAAAATTTGAAAGATATCAGGGGAGTTGGGGGACGGGGGAGGGCGGGGAGGGTGCAGAGGTATTGGTTGAACAAAAGATCAGGTGATATGCAACGATATTCTATTTCGAAATAGTCGAAGTCATGACTGGATACAGTTGCCCGCCGGAACTGTGTAATCAGATACATACAGTCCCACTGTTTGAATGTCGTTGTTCAAAGGAATGCCTTTGACGTGACGGTGTACTTTTCCTGCCACATCCAATATCAACTTAGGTTGTCAGATTGATCGATACCTCCAATTGTCGTTATTTTTTCTTTCATAACTGTCGAGTTAGGAAATTTAGAATTAGCCCATTCAAACAGCTCGAAACCCTGAACGGGAGAAACATTTTCAAGCGGTGTTTTTGAAAAATTGCCCAGATTTTTCCACCCATTCACAAGGAGCTTCCAGATTTGTGATGTTTAGAGAAACTTATTGGGAGGGGTGGAAATTTGAGGAAAATCATAGTTTCTGTTGGCAACCACGGGTTGGGGCTACAAGCCGCTCAGAAAGAAGCGTGATTGGTTATGGAATTTACTCCTCCAATCACAAACAGCTTTGCCGCCACGACCGCAAAACTTTGTGTGAATTCGTTCGACTTCGTGTAAAATAAACAAATGTCAATCACATTTAAAGTACAGTTTTCGATCATATGAACTTCGCCTTAGTCTTCTGAATTTATGGGAATTTTGTTTGGAAGTGCACCATCTTTTGTTTTTTTTTTCACAAGAATAGTCTAATGATATTTATCATTGGTGCGATATTTTTATTTTTTCACGAACTCCAATTTGCTAATAAAAGTCATAATCGATTAACGAGTTGAAAACAAATCTTTAATATGTGGTATTCATACATATTGAAACAAAAACTACGGGATCATTGACTGGTAAACGGTAGAAACTGATGGTGCTGGAGTTTGAAGAGGCTCCAAGGCTGGAAAGGAGCGTGCTTCCATAGCAAGTTCCCTTATCATAGCCGCTGATACGGGTCAGCCCACTTTCATTGTCATTGATTTGCCAGCTTGGTAGTTTTGAGCTGAGGGTTCATTTTGTGAGCCGGATCTAAAAACCAGGACTGGGAAACGCTTAACGTTTTTATATGATCGCTTACGGAAAATCGATTACAGAGGTGTCCATGGACGGTGTTTGCTTTGGACACACTGATATTTTCAAGGTTACGAAGAAAGTGAACACGATGGTGCGAAGGCGGAGCGGTTTGATGACGTCATTGGGGGGAGGGATTGTAAGTTGTCCCCGTTACAATCTTCATTGCGCTGAAGGGGTTTGGGCGACCAATGATATCCGCCGAAATCATCGAAAGCCATCGTTTTTCTTCCGGCCTTCGTGTTCACTACCTCTAAATTGCTCTCTCTACGACCAATGGAAATAGTCGGAGGCTCACTGCCCTCAATGGACAGGTGATATCACCTGGATATCGTGCGTGCGGTCGCGGGCGACCGACCATCTTATGTGGACTACCATTTGCATTCTCCGCTTGAGCCGTTATCTAACCAGAGTCCCATGATTTTGCTGTAAATATTCGCCTGATAAGCCGGCTTTTACCGTAATTTATAACCCGCATTGTTGGTGAATTCTACAAAAATTAAGGGGTACTTATAGTATTAAAGTGGTCCGTCTGGTGTCGAAGTGAGTTTTTAATGGATTGGAATCGTATTTACATATAATGGGTGGTATTTTACCCAAATCTCGGCATAATTTGGCGCCTGTAGCGAGGGATTATAGGATTACTCCTTTCGCATGGAAAAATGACAGGGTCGAATTGTAGGGTTTCACTAGTCAATGAGCATATTTAATGGTAGACTTGGGAACGACCTTATGGAATGTGGCCTAATTGTGTAAGTGTGATATATTTCAATCACAGGAATAACCGCTTGAGTTATCTTGGTGTAACTTATAGCCCACGAGTTAAATGAGAACAACGGCCCCTGCTTTACACATGTTCTGAAATTTCGGTCTTCTCAGTCCGTCTAATCCTATTTAATGGTTTTAGAATTATTTTCGTAACAGCTGTGATGGGTCGGATTTTGAAGGGCTAGGATCTTACAAATTGGTTGAAGGTCGCAAGCACAAGTGCGCAACTTAGCCCCCATGAGCTGAGGAGCAAATTCCGGATTAAATCTCGCCCAAAGGCAAATCTCTGAGAGGGGGTTGTGTTCGGGATTTTCTGGAAGAGGATTGGATCTTGTGAGGTGAAATTGAAATTGTTCTCTAAGTAACGTGAGAAATTATGAGAAGAGAAATTTTTAAAAGGATTTTTCTTGAGCTTCTGAAAGAATTTGGAACTTACGTTTTCTTTCCCGGTTAACAGCTCGGAAGGGCCACCTTAAAGAGCGGAGTTTCGCATATCGCAGTGGTTTAACCAGCTACTGGAATCTGTTGGAAGTTGGCTTCTCCAGTAAGCCATAACGGAAAGACAGGGAATTTTCTTGTTGTAAGGTTTTTCTCGAGCTGATTCGAGCGATGTGTTTTGAGGATGAGGGGTTATATGACCGATTTCCATGGAAGAGTACAATCAAGTAAATCTGGTTAATTGAAGTGCATCGGCATAATGGCCTTAGCTAAGTGATGTCAACTCGTCGCTGCGCTGGTCGTCACAGCTGAAAAGTGGAGGGGCAACTAGTGATCGTTTTCTGTATTCCTAACAAATATTATATTTCCATGATGGGCGTTTACATGAAGCAATTTTTTTACCACAGTTACTAGTATGTGATTTAATTGCATTAATGGCATTTGTGTCCTCAGCTGCATCGCACCGAGTACTGTAATGTGCCGGCCACAGTCGGAGCTTTTTTATACACACCGAATATATTTAATCAACGAATAAATATAGGAATGTCCTGCGAACAATCTCTTACTGCAAATATATGGTGCAGGGAGCAGGTATCGATCAGTAGCGCACGCGATTTCACCGTATGTCGATCAATCATGACGCATGGTTTCATCACTCTTGACTCGTAGCAACCAAGTATGGAGGCGTAAAGTGCGCTCACTGGTGACGCTCGGGTGCATGCGCGCGTTCTCCCCCTCTTTTGTTTGAGCTGGACGAGCCGCGTTGTCGGAAAGATACACGATACAGTGTGTGCGTTCAAGTGGATGCCGTAACATATGGAGCATGTAAATGCCGGAGAGTTGAGGGATTGCTGAGTGAAATGAGGGAGGTGCACGTAGGACGGAGAGGCGCGAAATCTTTATTATCTCACTGAGGTCTACGGATCAATGCTAGCTAATGCTAGCTCGTCGTTATGATAAAACTGGCAGACGTCGTCGATCAGTAAAATTTGTTATTGGTAAGTACAAACCTCAAGTGTGTATATTGGTCTCATCTTTCAAGTATGTGGTTCCGTTTCAGCTGAGTCGAAACTCGAGGCCGAGTATATTCGACGATTTTTGGGTCAGCTAAGTCCGTTAGAAGAGTCGCGACTCTGTGAGCTGAAATATGGACTTCAAGCCCATCACAAGGTATGTGGTTGACTTCAACGTTTCCTTCTTTTTCGAAATGTGTCTTATTGCTGAATAGAACATCTTGGTTAGGTATTATATTTGTCATATGGATCTGTTTTATCGAGCATTATTCTTTTTTTCACATTAGTTCTTTGCGGCCATTCTAGTCACATAGTGACGCGCGCCTATGCGCAGCGGCTGCCAAAAGCAATGAATAAACAGTATATTAGGGAAGCGTATCCTATCTACATTACGATTCCTATCTGAAATAACTCTGCACAGCGATTATATGTACATATAGGTTCAAGAGCAGCTTCGGCTCTGTTCCAGTAAGAGGGGGGAGGGGGCTTGTGATGTTCGTGTCACCCGCCAGTGTTACAAATACTTTGTCTATCCTAAAAGGTTGAAGTCTCCAAGGTGCAGGGCAACCGTTTCTCCTTTTACACCCACCCGGAAGCTCCCTACTCATTCAAAATTAGGCTCACGGCAGGCAGCACGAATTTTTGCACCAAATACGCCCCCCCCCCTATTGGATGAAACCATCAACTGCTCCCGAAAAAAATAGAAGATCAAGGAATTGGTGCGTGCTGTCGCGGCGCGGTTGGTTTCCATTGCTGTTTTGGTTGATTTTTGAAAATATTTAAGTAATCGATAGTCATTCGAAGCTGCTGTGATAGAGTTGAATTTGCGAAAAAAGTTAGACGGAAGTTGTAGATCTTGATACCTGCTCATCTTCTCTCTTTTTAAGAGTTCAGTGCTGTACACTGGCTTTTAAATAATCTATGGGGAAGATATAAATAAACATTACAGCCAGTAGGTCCTGCTAATCTTAATTAGACCACTAATGTCCTGAAATCGACCTGTTCATTTATTTGAGAGCGTTCATCAAGATTTTTGTTATTCTGTTGTAACCAATTTGTCTATCGATTTTTTATGATGACTTTTCGAGTAAATTCCCTGGATAGGTGGTGTGATTGATGCTGGAATTTTGAAGCGCCACAAATCTGCAAGATTGTCCAAAGGTTTGCTCACAAAAAGATACTTATTGATCGGCAGATTAGCAAGCAACCGAGTGCGGAACTGTTCAGCCGTTGAATCGCTAAAATTTGCAGAATAAGTCCCAATTAGTCTCACTTCCTATTAGTTTTGAGAGAAGTGGAGAACTTGCGGAAGGGAAAAGAGTCATGCTTTCAAGCGAGCGGAGGAATTGGAGAATCAGAGTACTGTAGAGTCGGAGAATCTGTGGAAAACATTTTATGCGTATTGATCGGTTTGGCTATCATTGATGCGTAACCTATCATTCTCATGTTTTTTATCAGCATGGCATCCGTCTAATCGTTCAGCTTCTCCTTGTCTGCATTTCTCCATCTCTCCATTCTACCAGTTGACTTTTTAATATTTTATTTCGCGGATTATTCGATAACCTAGTCCCTCGATTCTACCATTATTCGGTTTCCATGATTGACGTTGATTCTTTTCGCGGATTCTCTGGTTCTTCTGAAGGCTGTGTGTGAGCGTGGCCTAAACTGGGAGAAATTGCGGAACGAAAAATACAGTCTCATAATCTAAACAAGCCGTGACATTTTATTTAATGCAAATATTTTGGGTTATGAAAAAGCGTTGTTTCTACATTCTAGCCTTGTAGAATATCCCGGAGCTACCTCTATTTTTTTCCAATTTTTTGTTTTCCTTCTCCTTAATTTTCTTATAATTAACGCTATTAGTAATGGTAGTATATTTCCATAGTTACACGCGATTCTGTAGAGGATTGAGAACGTTTTATTGCAATTTTCGATGTTTTACATCAATTGACTGGTTACCTGTTCAAGGGTAAATTGCCAAACGATGCGCATTTGTTACGGTTTCTTCGAGCACGAGATTTCGATGTCGCTAAAGCGAAGGAGCTCGTTCACAACAGTATCATTTGGAGAAAACAACACAATGTCGATAGGATATTACAAGTAAGCGGTAGATTTAGTCATAGAGTACATAATTTTTATTGATTTTGAAAAAGTTAGAACTAAATGTTTGATATATTTTTGTCACGTTATAGGAGTGGACCCCACCTGCAGTGTTGACGCAGTTCTTCCCAGGATGTTGGCATCACAGTGACAAGGTCCTTGATTGATATTGATTGGTTTTGAAGGTTTTGTGTTCCTTTATAATTGGGTTATTTTTTTAAAGGAAGGACGGCCATTATTCTTATTGCGTCTTGGTAATCTCGACATGAAAGGTATGCTTCGATCTTGTGGTCTGGAGAATATCGTCAAACTCACGCTGTCAGTCTGCGAAGAAGGCTTGATAAAAACGGCTGAGGCTACCAAACAAATTGGAGCTCCTATCAGGTTTGTCCTTTTACACCCGTTTCTTCGAGAACCGAGTTTCTTATTGTGCCATTATGTCTAACACATTGGGGACAGCATGACGCGCATGCGCGTCAGGGTTCCCCGCGAGTGGGTATGGTTTTGCTTGAGTCACTAGTATTTTTGTGTTAGAAAGTTGTCCGTCTACACCGTTGGCTACAGAACATACTATACCCATTACCAGTAACCAAATTATTGAAGGATTACTGCTGGTTTTGTAAAAATATAAAAAGAGATGCCGAAGAACACACTTTACGGTCTCTCATCAATGTGTTGAACGAACGCGGTCGCGTTGCGGGTTCAATGCGACGTCATGAGCCTTGTTATAGCTGCAAAATAAACTTGTGGTAGAGGTATCCGCTGGAAAGGTTTGAACTGATTAGCAGTCTCATTTGAAGTCACGAGTTGCAATAGGGTGCTCGTAGAAGTCCTCCCTTTGAGTGGGGTAGCACAACCCCTAATCACAGAAGTCGCGACTTCAAAGTCCGTGACAAGGATCTGATGCGTTTGCTTGACCGCTGCGACCGCTGCCATTCTTGTCAATTGTAGCATAGGTAGCGTATGCGCCCTCTAACGCACAACGTGCTCTCTCGCGTCTTCCCTCTCGATGCTATGTGTCTCTGTCGCCCCACGCTCAAGTTGAAAACTTCATTGCTTTTCACGTTATTTCCTGCTTTTACACCTAGTGACGTTCCTCTTCGCACTTCTTCTCCAGTTTTTGAATCGAATAACACACCAATTCGATCAATACCCGTTCCTTTAAATTTTACGCTTCAAAGCGGGCCTCGTGTAATAATCTTGGCTAACCGCTGCGCAACCGCAGGCTCTGTCGCAATTTTGTGAAAACCGTGACGGTGGCCGGTGGATGTGTTTAAGAATAATACATTTCATTGTTTTTCAATTTTTAGCACATGGAGTCTTTTGGTGGACCTCGAAGGTTTAAGTATGCGACATCTTTGGAGGCCAGGTGTACAGTCTCTGCTGCGCATCATCGAAATCGTTGAGGTAAGTTCTGAAAACCAAGCATCTACTGGTAAAGGGTTTCTTTGTTAAGCAAAATGTAATAGAAAGTCCCTTGTTGAGGACCGTTCAAATATAGCGTTGTTCAAGCTCAGCGCTGTGATTAGACTTATCTGTGATTTTCTGAACGTGAATAGTCTTCTTCTTCTTCTTATTCTTCAGCGTTTGTCCCGTTTGTTGGCGGGGTCCGCTTTTCTGATATGCTGACGCCACTTTTCCCGATTAAATGCTTGGTCGGGGTGTATGTTAACCGACTCCAAGTCTGTGTGCAACGTGAATAGTAAAGGAACCATTTTAACTAACAACTGTATTCCAGGCTCATTACCCAGAAACAATGGGCCAAGTGCTGATCGTGAGAGCCCCACGAGTGTTTCCAGTCTTATGGACCCTGATTTCTCCATTCATTGACGAGAACACCCGCAACAAGTTCATGATCAACAGTGGCGAGATTGTCAAGGATGAAATTAGTAAATACATTGATGAGCAATACATTCCGGACTTCTTAGGTGAAGAAATTTATCTTGGAATTTCACACCAATATCAAATAGTTTGAATACCCAAATGTTCTTGTTTAGGCGGTACATGCTTAGCAGATTGCCCAATAGGCGGCCACATACCGAAATCACAGTACAGACCGGTTGAAGATCTGCCCGACGACGCCGATGTACTCAGCTCGATGTATACGAAGGCATCTGTAACACGAGGTTATCCAGTGGAGGTGATACTTCGTTTCTAAGCATCTTCATTCTGAAATCTGTCACTTCACGAGTAGCTTAGTGAAAGAATCCCGATGGAGCGGAAGGGGGGGGGGGGGCACACACTCGTAGAGAAAGTGCCACTAGCGCAAGAGGAGTACGCGCGTCAGAGGTGCGAGAGGACCATGTCATGACGTATACTCCTCCCTCTCCTCCCCGAGCTGGGCCAAGGCTTGGTAATTTGTGAATATGCTGAGCGCTGTTAAAGGAGGGGTTGGGTAGGGGAGGAGTACCAGAGTGGGTGGATCGCTGGTCGTTTCACTGGTAAAAATAGATAGAGTGTGTATTAAGGACCTTTCGCTGATTCTCATCATAAAGTCACTCCAGATTAACGTGTTGTTGATGCTTTTATCCTTATAATTAGTGCAAGAGATATCCCATAAAGACGTGGAGCACAATGGAGCTCCTCCAGCTCCATTCCCACCTTATTTCAGTACCCCAGCCTTTGAGTTTCTATATTTTGACCGGCTAGTCACGGGTGTAAAGCCATTCATAAAACTTTTGGTATAGATAAAGAAAAAAATGTTTAGGTTGTTGTACCGATCGCTTCGTCGGGATGTGTTCTCACATGGGATTTCGATATTCTGAAGAGCGACTGTGAATTTGTTGTGTACCATACTCCGAAGGTTTGTTGAAAATATGATTTTTATCATTACTTTCTTATTGTCGAATAGTAAATCAATTTTTACGTCTATTGTCATTCATATGAACCATTTATTTCGAATGCATCCCTATGAATATAAAAATAAGACGAAGTAAAGGATTAGGGCTTGTAGATGCTAGCCTGAGGCGGGCAGGAGTGAAATACGTAATCCTCAAGCTTTAGAGCTAAACTGTAAGTGCAAATTATAAAAGATCGCCAGGTGCCGTTGAGAGCTCGCTCAGATGCTGTAAAATGCAGCAATCAGGGTCAACCGTGGCTGGAGGCCAGTTGAGAATTTGATTCTCATAACCCTCCCTCTCCTCCTCCCCCACCACCAACCACCATCCTCGATGTCACCAATTCCAATATCTGATGACAACCCTGAATTCTCCTCTTGGAAAAGTCCTTCGAGCTTGCGTGAGGAAGAGAAGGTGGAGGTACATAATTTTTGAAACGGCAGTTGTGTGATTTCATCCATTTCATTAATTTTTCGTGAAACTCAAAAAATCTTCCTCTTAAACTTTCCCAAACACAACCCGCGTCCCGATATTCCCAACGGGCGATTGGCCATGCTGAGTCCAAATACGACCTCCTCGCAATGTGTCGGGCGCACGGCTGGTCGTGATGGTAATTCCAATCTGGGTCCATAGTTTTTCTACTTGATTCATATGAGCGGCTGTGCTCCGAGCTTTACTGGCTCCCTGTTTTCCCCTGCGAATATGTAGAATAGGTGTTGAGCGTTTCACTGTCGAATATTTCACTACTTCTTTAGTTCAGTTACTAGTGGGTAGAGCGCTGTCGCGATGCGCTCACAAGGTTATCAGCGTATCTTGTTTTAGACCAATAAATTTATAACGGCATGATTTTTGTGAAGTGATGTCTCTCCTCTGAGGGTTCACGATTTCTTTCGAACTGCCATCACCTGGTGATACTTTCGCAGAAACTGGAGTTTCTTAGCAAGCCCTTAAGATTCATTAGAAGCCTACAGATTTGATTTTAGCCGGCATATCGATTCATTTTGAAACATTCAAGGTGATTCAAGAAGCGGCCGTTCCTCATTCGCCCACTATGATGAACCCGGTCGAGATGGTGACGGCTGCAATCGCCAACAATCCGCTACCGGTAGTGTCGTCCGATCCGTCTCTCACTCTTGGTCCCGATCTCACAATCGAAGAGAAACCAGTAGTATTTCAAGAGGGAGACTCTATGCAGGTTTGAATGTTAATTTTTTTTCAACACTTTACATCAAAATGCCTTCAAAAATAGGTTCGGATTGTTGTAAAAATTGTTGTCGTAAAAATTGAAGGAAAAAAAGAGTGTGCGGATGGAACATGTGTAGAGGTTTGAAGGGAGCTTCTGAGATAAGCGAAATATCGCCGTAACGTGAAAATGATGGTAACAAACAGAGCTCAAAAAAATCCCTAGGGGAATGGTGAGAAGCCCTAGAAATGGAACCCTCACTCCGACTGTTGGTTTGGGGAGTGGACGAGTTCACCGTTAATGTAGAGAGCACTCGGGCTCAGTTGAGCGCTGCCGTTCTGCGAACGGCAGTTAATGGATAGGTGCCGCGTGGCGGGTGCAACATTTATCATTAGAAAGAAGAAAAACCAACAGTGTCGGTAACACCTCGACGTCATAGTTCCTTCCGTGTCACGTGCCATCCATCAGTGGGCGTGTCTGAGAAACGGAGGGGCGTTTGAGGTCCCCTTGGCGCCTCATCATGCCGTTGATAGCGCACCATTTGCCACCCGAAGCGCCCCACCCCCACCGACCAGTTGGATCTTCATCTACCTTCTTCGACGACATCTTTCTCTATCAAAGACCGTTTTAATCACCAATCTTGCCAATTCAGGGTTCGCACTTCTGCTCGCGATCCGGGACCTACATTCTTCAGTGGAGGGTTCCTGAGGTAATAGAATTTCATAATATAGGAGTTTTCTGTGTTTGGTATTTGCGATAGGTTTTTCTCATTAATTTATTGATTGCAGATTCCTGGTCAGCACAACACCACTTTCGACTTTAGTATTGGCAGCCACAAATGCAAATTAATGTATTACCATGAATTATTGGACTCGGCCGACTTCAGGTAAGTTAACAGCACTTTACTACTTTTTTCTCACAGACAATTTAATTGTTGTGAAGTTACATTCCGTAAGCCTCCCCACAGATATGTGGTCTTCCACCAAGATCCGTGAAATAGGGATGAAAAAATCACGCAGGGAGTCCTGGTGGTAAGTCAGATCCGCCCATGCTCATTTTAGTTGGTAAAAGGTGCTAGTTTTGATGGACATATGCAGCTGTCTTAGTCTATTACTGGCAGGGCGCCAAGGGGAGAGGGCGAAGAATTTTTTGACCTTGTGAGTGAGTGGGTGGGTTTTTTGGTGTTGCTGGATAATCCTTGGTGGTGACTGTCCTCCAAATGACCGAGGGAAGTGGTTTCGAAACGAGACGGGAATCCGAATTGGATGTGACTTCCCACACTGAATGCATTCGGCGTCAGAGCGAAATAAGGGACTGGATCAGGGTTCACTGGTGGATGTAGTGTCAGCCAGGAAGTATATAAAGAAACTATCTCCAAAATAAATTCCCCTAGAGGGCTGGTACGATACCTAGTATCCCATTTGAGATCCCTCATACCTCACTCATTTCTGCTGTCCCCTGCAAAACAGCTGGCAACCTGTTTAAAGGAGGAATTCACGATTAGAATGAAGGTCGAAGAAAGGGAAACTGACCTAGTTGAGGGACCCACGGACCTCCTGAGGGTGCGAACTGACGCGCAATTCGCATGGAAAAATTTGACCTCGGCGACCTATCATGCCTCAAAGCTGGCGGGTCCGGCGATCTCCGCCCACCGATCATCTGATCACTCGCCGTAGTTCAATACGTGGCGAGTGATTAGATAGCTGAGAGAGCGTAGTGTTGAAGAGGGCACAGCGATGAGAGTCGCATCAATGCTCAAATCAACGGGCAAGGAAGGGGTCCCATTTCTCGGGTTCTGGGCCGTTTCTCATGGTTCTTCCTTCTTTCGTGTACCACTCACCATCCCTAGGTTAATTTGAAATGGGTTGCTTTTTCATCGTGAATTCGTCCTTTAAGGAAACCGCCCACATTATGAGCAGCAATCCGTAGCTGGTAATACTTACAGTGATAATTTTAGGGGTTCAGTAGCCTCGTTGGAGTCGTGCCGTAGTTCGTTCAGCTCAATCGCTCCTCCATCTCAACCAGGTACACCGTGTAATATTGTACGTAACAAAGCTCCAAAATAATATGAAGTAGTTTTTTTTTTAATTTCGTACTTGACCCACGTCTGAATTGTATACTATGTTCATCTTTCACATTTTATTAACTATCTGACATATTTCATTACTACTAATATTTAAATGTTTAGTACCCTAGTAACGTTGTGACTTTCTCATAATTCCAAGCATCTAGAGTACAAATGATGTTTGTATAGGGAATTGTTTGTGATTGGGTTGTGATTTGTTTCGCGAAGGGTTGCACAAACGATGAGGCGGGGATCGAGATTTGAGTTGTTGCTCCAGTTAATGTACACATTAGGTAGAAGCTAAGGGTGCGTTTTAGGAGCGGTCGACGCGTCGCGGTCACGCACGCGACCGCTGAGCTAATCGCTACGCGCCCAACCATTTGACTGCGACATGTTGAACCTGTATAGAGGAGAATTACAGATCAACCCCTCCGAATGTACGAAAATACATTTTTGACTGTATGGTTTCTGCACATTCCACCTCTTCCCTTATTCAGAACCTAACAAATTCTTTGTGCTCATTTTCACTAACGCGTTCACAAAAATTCACCAGCGGAACCCAACTAGAGGTAATATTCGGGTTTATTTTGCCCCCAGGGAAATACAAACGAGTCTCGATCCTGTCTCAATCGCGAGTGCTCCCATTAATTGTAAAGTCGGGGTTCAAGTTCAGTAAGGTACTCTGCGTGTGCAGCCTTGCCTAAAAAGTTGGCGAGTTGCCAGGTACGGAAGCTGTTGGAGTAAGTATCCCCTTGAATGCTGTAAAGCGCCAATAAGTGATACCGACTATAGGTTGTTAGTGGCCTTTACAATTTGTATAAGGATAATATCTTTAGATTTTTCTATTGTTAACTGTGTCACCGGGTCGGCTATTGTAACTCATTTGTGAGGAGTTTCGTGTTTTACCTCGGATAGTTGGCAATATGCTATGTAGTTTGAAGTTTGTATGAATATCATGCCATGTGAGTTTGTTTTCGTAGTCCATTACACAATTGGTGAAGTGATGTGATTGGCTGACTAAGCTGGAGCTGTGATTGGTCGCCGCCACATTGTCTCTGCGGCAGCTTGTGCTGTCCTCTGACAGGGAGGCCTTTGTTTCCTCAGGGTAAGGTGTGATGGGCTATGCAGACAAATTCCATACAATTATTATACTACTAGCGTAAACTTTTTGAATTTTCCCTTATTTCCAATCACTCTCCAGAATTAGACTCGACATTTAGTCCACAAGTAAGGGTTTCGAGTCTAATGTCCTCTTTCTTAGAGTCAATGGTTTTGTGGACATTAAAATGCCAAAAATATTGCTGTGAAGGGGGATTGTGGTCTACTTCGCTCAGATACAATAAGCTGTACACGACAATGTCAATAAAACATTCTTCTTTTTGTTTCAGAAATAAAACTGCTCATGTTCACCATTGCATAACAAAATTTAAAAAAAATGTCCACGAGCGGTCGCGGTGCGGCCGATCGATGGAAGTAGGACGGTGTTAAGCAAGCCGTATATGTAGCTTCCATGATATTTATATACATCATTTCTGATAATGGATAATTGGTAGAAACAATATTATGACTTTGAGCTATGAGTAAATTACTACAAGACCGAATTTTAGTTACCAAGAAATAAACTGAAATGACCCCCAATCAGTGTCGATGGGCACTTTGATACATGGGATAGAATCTCATTTTAATAGCTGCAGGTGTTTGGTAGACGTTGACGTGTTGAACACCAGGATTCCATTCAATTCCCCTCTCACAGTGGTCGTAGGCAGGGCACTTCTGCAAACTGGAGCAATAAGGGATGACGTACCATAAAAACTAAATCAGAGAGAAACGAGAATCTATCTAAACTAGAAAAACGGCCCTATTCAGGGAGGGGGTTGATAGAGCTTTTTTTCCTTTTTTCTTAACTACAGTTCGAATTACATGCACTGCTTCATATTTCAACCCCTTTTTCACTCGTCCAATTATTATGGGCTGTGTCTTTGAGTCCTTGGTCTACAAGCTTTTTCTGGCTTTTTTGATCAAAACCGCTTTTGCTGGGATCTAGAAATAAACTTTTCCGAGATAAGGCATTTATTTTTGAACGTTACTGTTCTCAAAATTACAAAAATTGCTATAAAATGACTGCTTGATCTTTTTTTTTAAATCGAAACCTTACTCTACTTCAGTTAGGAATCTATCATGATTAATATTATTATCTGTTACAATAATCTAAAAAATCTAAGCTGGCCTTATTAATGTCTAATACCTGTTATTATAATAGATTATCTGTTATTAGTATTATTTGAGTTCAATTGCGTACGTACAGGTACTTGCTGGGCCAGGCGATGTGCAGGGCAGTGCTTTATATCCGTCCGGGCAAGCTTAGTAGAACCCGAATAGATGGGATTGTTAGCCGGGTAGGCGGGATCAGAGAGAGTTACAGGGATCCTACGTCTCGTAGCTCGTTACGTTGGAACTTCTATATCAACTGACGCCAAAAGTCATGTTTAAGCCTCGCATCCAATTATTATCGCGATTCCGACATGAATGCGAGTACGTGGTGCTTCGTGAAGCATTTTTTCACGGGATCCTTTTCCCAGTGTTTTGTTCAATTACCTAGATGAGAAATTTCGTAGCTGTGCAAACTTCTACATAATGACGGAACCATTCAAACCTAAGTGAAAATACATGTTCCCGTGCGGTTTTTTTTTGCAAACCAAGCGTGGGGATTGACGTGGCTTTCGAAATCTGTTCCACCATTGTTTCGCAGTGGAAACGACGGAAATTCTCTGCACACCTCGTTAAACTTCAGTGCTGATTCAATAGCTGTCAAAGTTTTGCTCGCCAGCCATTCTGGTTGAGGAAGAAAAGCGAAAGAAAATTTTATTTGACCCAGCGAAAGAAAATTTCATTTGACCCAAGCAGCTATTTTGAGCGGCAGCGTGGGAGTGGTTGAGACTAAGTGGGCTATAAATCTAGTAAAAGTGCATGGAACACTGACAATCTCTTGTCCCATTGCTTATACCCATTTCAAGAGATATGCCCGCAACATTGATAGAAAGGGGCGGTAAGCAATCGGAATATACTGCATGGTTTTTTGCATCCCCCAGGCACCAACAGCAAACGCCCTAGGGCCAGCTGAAGCAATTTCTCAAACTTGAACTCGTTGCAGTTGCTTTCTCATGCCCTTTCTTATATAGCCCACATAAGTTAACTAAAGTAACTCACATTATATGATTTCATTCTGGAGCATTCGGCTACAACGCATTTTACAATATAGTTACCGCTCATCTGCGTTTGAAACTCTTCGAGCACATCTCGCATGGTAAACTGAAAGGTTGTTTTAATTGTATAGTCAGTTTAGACGTATAATTTACTCGATCACTCAAGTAAACTCTTGTGTGATCCGCTACTGGACTCCTACAATCCCATCAGTGGGTTACTAGGATTTCATTAATGAGTCATCCATCAAGCTCGTTTCGATTATTGGAGTAATGGGACCGCACCACGATAGCAGGTGGCGGGGTTCTGCGTTTTCTACTGCCATAGTTGTTCAATCTAGTGAGACTTCATCTCTATTCGGTATTTTAAGAAATTACTATTTCCACATTCATTCTTGTTTATCGGTCGACCGCTGAAAGACCCCTAGAGGTAGGGATTATTATTTTGTAGGGACCAAAGGGTTCGCAGAGGCTAGCACGGGACAGTCCCGGGTGAATCCCAAGATATTCAGAGCATTCATCGGTTTCTAGTGTTGACCCTAATTTATGGAAATGGCAAATAATTTCGCAGTCATCAGCGATATTTTGGCTTGTGTTTACCATGCCCTTGGGCAGCGACATCTGCCAAATATACGCCAGCCCGCAAGGAGCAAAATGTTATAAAAGGATAAAGGATAAAGCATTTGCCGTTGATCAATCCCTTTTTGGGATGCGGCACGCATTCTACTTCCATTTGTACATTCGCAGTGGCATTTGAATGCGATGTGGCCTATACAATGACTTGCGGGGCCAGCCGATGTACAAGTCAGTGTTTTTATCCTCCCAGACAAGTCTGGTACCAATTAACCGACCCCGGAGGGATGGAAGGCTTGGTTGGCCCGGGCGACTCACGACCCAGGATTTGATCCCGGACCGCTCGCGTGGTAAGCGTGCCACTTGTCACTACACCACTTCCGCCCATGCCACTGCGAATTACAAAAATGTTATACCCACGAGAAACTCGAACCAGCAACCCAGATTCATCACTCCTTTTTTTGGCATTCAATGAATAGTTCAGAAAAAATGAGCTCTGCTTCGGTCGAGTTAGCAAGCCACCACCTTCAGGGCCTTCCTTGCTAGATCTCCTTGTTACAGCAAAATGCGTTTTTGAGGCCTCCATTTTGCCTATTTTACCCCCACCCGAGAGACGTTCTTTTTTACGGTGGCTTGCATTCTTGCGCTATGCGAAACATACTAATGGTGGTGGTGCAAGACCTTGTCAGGATTCGTCTAAAGATTTCTATCCAGATTGAGCGTCTCGTCTATTCCGCCCATTTCTTACCCATCTCTTGCCACTGGTCTCTTCTGGAGACACCATCCCGAGTCGCTTTACATTTAGGCGACCAGACACCATTTCATGGAGTGTAGGTATGCATGAAGAGATCTGAACAAGATCCCGAGAATGGCTGTGCAGCAGGCTTTCTAGGAACCCTGCAAAATTCACTGAAGCACACATGATGTCCAGGGCTATTCGTTCCTATTGAGACATTTTTTTGTGTTAGATGTTGTCCATTAGAGCTGCTCTCAGGGATCTGGTTACAAAGCCGTAATCCCGGATGACCGCGGAATTGTTGTTCCTAACTAGGTGGCCTCTTAAAGCCTATAAAATCCTTTAGTGCTTTGTTATTGTCCAAAACCTCTTATATGCAGCTTCATTTTCATCGGAGATCAGAGCATTACCGCTCTGTTGTCTTTTCTTGAAATCGTAAACATTTTCTTGTTGTACATTGATTTTTCGTTTCAAAATCCATCTTTTATACAGGTATGATTTTTGCACCCGTTCCCTTGCTTTCGCGAGTACGAATGCTGAAGTAGCAGATAATAGGTGAGAGTGGGGCAAGCAATTTCCGTGAACAATTCCTCCATGGTGACAGACGCAGAATATCCTCTTGGTCCTCTTTTTCTGACCCATTACGAGGGATACTTCGTACCAGGCACTTCTAAAAATATATGAATATAAACATCCACCAACCTCAACTCTTATGGGAATTTTCGACTGGTAGATAGCCACATTTTTCTTGTGAGGGCATCTGAAAATCACTTCCAGTAAGTTTGGATAAAAATAAGTTCTCTTTCAATATTTGAGTGGATTACAAATGCAAAAATAGAATACTAATCGTAATAGCAGCCCACACAACAAAAACTGATAATTTGTTTATTCTTTCAATTAGCTATTGTTTACAACTGAAAAACAGGATTATATAAACACAGAAGGACAATAGGAAAGTGAGTAATATAATATATGGGAGATAAGATGTTAAGCGCTAGGGAATTGCATATTTACGACCTACTAAAGCGGTCACGATGATGGGAGAGGGGGATGAGAGTTGTGGAGCTATGTGGGAGGGATATATTTCGAAACATTCGAGTTCAAGTAAAATTGAATTGACATTTTTACAAAAGTAGCTGGATTGTTTCCATGTCAAGGAAAAGTGGCCTTAACCAGCCTTGACCAGGATCAGTAACTTTTGTGTTGCCATTTTTTATTTGCTTACTCAAAAAGAATCGGTGGATCGCCATACGTGTTGCCCTCCTGTTTTTGGAAATACAAAGCCCATTCGAAGGAAGCCATAAGAAGCGCTTCAGGCCAAGAGTGTGAATTTTTAAAAATTTAGGCGACAATCTCAACAAAAATAATTGCATTAGTTCCACACATGCTAAACAATTCGTGAAACAATACCCGACTGTCCATACCCTCCTAAAACGAAAGCGTTCTCCTCCGTTGTGAGTTCGCCATTTTTCAAAATATGACAGTTGTACGGGTAGAATTCCGTTGACGTCGTGAAATATTTTCCTGAATTCGAGGATCTCGGTGAATACCGTTCTTTGTTTCCTGTGCCAATTTAATTCCAAAAAATCATTCCAACAAAGTTTAATTTCTGAAATGAAATGAAGTGTGATAAAAATTATGCTGGTTTTTCTCAAGAGATGGAGTGCGATTTGTCCCTTCTTTTAGGGGAGGTGGTGAAATTGCGGTTCCTAGGTAGCAGAACGGACTCTAGGAAGCAAGCGTCGCCATAGATTGAATACATTGCTAAGTTTTTTCAAGGTGGAAGCGAGTGTGAACCAGCAAACTATTTACTCAGGATCACGTCGCGATAGCGCGACGGAAAAATGACCGCGGCTGTAAGACCTTCGCCCCTATCAGAGGTCTGGGTGCTGATCATCTCCTCCACCACAATGAGTACGACTCATTTCCTTCCAAAAAAGCAAATACGATCCCATCACGGAACCTCGACCATGGTTCATCCAGCCATTGACCGCTGGATCATCGAAAGGATAGCAGGAGCCCAAAATGGTCCCCGGACACTCGTCACATGATCAAAGCAGCTCGGGACCTCTGTGCACAGGTCTAGTCATTCGACTTAAAGTTGATAATTCGAGTGGGATCTAATGCGCGATCCTTAGCGTAAGCGGTGCTTCGAAATTCTTGCCGGAAGGGTTATCTTCGAGGTACGCAAACCTCGGAGTAGTTTTCTAAATTCCTGTTAAATCTACGGAAGGATTATCTCGTTTGGATCCTGGATCTATTCTTAGAGGTAGCTTGGGCTTGCCCTTTGTGATATTCTATTTGTCGCTTAAATTTGGTGGAATCCACCGTGATTTGACGGCGCGATGGTGTTAAAACAGCATCAGTTCTCGCCTTGCCTCATCTTTCTTCTACCAAAAGCGCTGGTCAGAGTCACACGCAACTCACCTCGATCCGGACTGATACGTACGACTAGTCGGTCGTCTGGTTTCGTTGCCGGATAGTGTCCATTCATGATGGGCATAGTACGATTGCATTTCTCGTCTTCTAGTAAGGTCCTGCACATGTCCAGTCGTACTGGCGCATCGTCTATCTGCATACTGCTATCTTTATACTGTATTATTTTCACTCTTGAAAAGTATGTAAGTTAAAGCTGAGAACTGTATGTTACCCAGAAGCCTAACCTGTAGATCCATGCGAATAAAAGCTTCCAAAACACTTGTAAAGAATCTTCGGGACCTCCCTAAGCTTTATATACAGGCTGATAAAATGCGGGTTCGCTAGTGGAATACGCCACGTATTTGTCTTGCCTCTAGAATCGGTAAGGCATCAGCAATTTCGTATTTACTCTCTGTTTGACGGGAAATAGTGGTTCCGGGGAATGAATTAAATTCCAGAAATAAGCGTCTAACAAAATAATGGCAGAGGGATTGAAGGTGTGTAACAGACAAAATGGTTAAATTTAGTTAGGTTTATTTGTATAGCAAACATAATAATTTTGTGGTACAACGGCAGGCAACCGTAGTTCATTATGGATTACAAAAGGCAAACACTTTTGCATCATGCAAGAAGAAATGACAAAATATTCATGGAAATTGATAAACATCAGCAGAATTAAACCGGCAACTTTTCTAAAAGAACGGAGTGCAAGCTGGAGGAAAAGGACGGAGTGCAAGTTTCAGGAAGTGGTGTAGTGGCAAGTGGCACGCTTACCACGCGAGCGGTCCGGGGATCAAATCCTGGGTCGTGAGTCGCCCGGGCCAACCAAGCCTTCCATCCCTCCGGGGTCGGTTAATTGGTACCAGACTTGTCTGGGAGGATAAAAACACTGACTTGTACATCGGCTGGCCCCCGCAAGTCATTGTATAGGCCACATCGCATTCAAACGCCACTACGAATGTACAAATGGAAGTAGAATGCGTGCCGCATCCCAAAAAGGGATTGATCAACGGCAAATGCTTTATCCTTTATCCTTTTACCCTCGCCTTCAAATGACCAGAAATTGTGCAATTGCAGAAATTGACGTGGCATTGGCACACGTGGCTAAATTCTCGATGAAAAGGTGACATCACGTGTGCTCAAAGATGTTCTTGAATCGATGCCACGTTAATGCCACGTCAATTTCTGCAATTGCACAATTTCTGGTCATTTGAAGGCGAGGGTATGTGAATGCATAGCGCTTAAAGTGCAATAGCTGTTACTTCACTTCGATAAGAACTGATGATGGGTCACGTGGCGTTTGCAATTTTATTTTTCTGTTTTCAAAGAACAACGTGGGGATCTGCAGCCACCGATGCAGCTTGCATAGTGCATTTACACATCTGAAGCGGTGTTTTTCGAAAGCTCTTCTATGTTGCCCAACAAAGATACGATATTGAATTTTACAGATATTTTTCTGACGGGTGATATCTTTGTATAGAATGACATCATATTTCACTGACAGAAAGTTTTCTTCATGTTGTGAGCCGGTGTTCACTGAAATCTAATGCAACTCCTGTTGCGTATGAGGCCAGTACTTTGCCAAGTTGGACACACCTATGGGGAATCATAACAAAGGAATACTCGGGAAAATTTCGTAGCAAAATGGTATGACGGGTCAAGGTGATCTTGGGATGCCTTCCGTAAGCTCGATTTCTTCTAATATTTCAGTTTCTGCCTGTATCCACACAGTATCTTAGAATTCGTGCGGCGGTAATTGTGTACTCTCTTTCCCGCGGCCGAGCTTACCGCAATTGCGGACACACCATCGCACAGCAATGGCTTTGGAGAATTGTTGCGCATGGGGTGCTAACCACGCTGCCTGATGCCACTGTGGATCATGTCGCATTACCTGACCCCGCGGTTAGAACTAGGCTGATATTTCCATCGCTACAGGGACCCATTTCCGGTTGAATACTGCTGCATACGTCCACGGTATTGGGCTTAGTCATCGCACGTCTGCAAGTACAGGCACAGCAGCGGGAAACGAAGTTCAAGTAGACAACACTCAAACAAGCGATTGTACGCACCCTCAAATACCTACACTTACACACATATTTCCTGGAATTTTCTGAATTATTATAAGTTTTTAGTAATACCAATTGCCTTTTCTAAAACAAAATATGGTGCAATACAAGTGCGATGGGCACGCCCGTATTTTCGGGTTACGGTAGGCGCGAAATGTACGCGGGGCTATGATCTAACGAGACGCTGTGGGAATCGATAATCACTGCTTCTTTGTTGTTTTTTCTACTTTTGATGGTATTTCCTGCTGGATCGTTCAGATACACACTATTGATCGATGGACTAAGCCTTTGGAGAAGGGAGAGGCTCCTTTCCAAAGGCTTAGTCCATCGATTATCGTTAGGTCATAGCACTGGGCTGCGGTCTCCACGTACATTTCGCGCCTACCGTAACCCGAAAATACGGGCGTGCCCATCGCACTTGTATTGCACCCAAAATATGTCCCCTCACCCTTCAGGTCTCGCGCATCAAACTCGTCTGCGCTGTGTCACCCCACTATTGTGCTCAGCTGTCCATCAACGGGCCTACATCGTCCAGGCAAATTAATCTCTATTTGGCAATATCCTTGGAATCGTTATCGACAGCGCTGGACCTGCTAGATCAAAATGACCACGCGGTCGATGGATCGACCCCGTTTGCTTGCTACGGCGCATGCCGGCGTCCACTAATTACAACATCATTCCTTTTGTTTCATTTATAATCTTTTCTATTGATTCATTCTTCTTCGTTTGGCTCTGCACACGATGTTGTCATGCAATACAAGTGGGATGGGCATTTCATTTTTTGAATATGGTAGAGGCGAAATGTATGTAAATAGGAACAGCTGTTCACTACTATGGTGTCACTAGAACTAAGGGAATTTTTGAGCCAGGGGGGAGATGTGAGGGCAATCACTTGACATGCGTGAAAAGCTGGAATGTGTGAGTTACTTCATAGCGTCTCGTCACGTCATAGTAGCGGGCAGCAGTCCCCACTTACATACATTTCGCACCTACCGTATTCAAAAAGTCGGTGTGCCCATCCCACTTGTGCTGCACCAATACTCGAACTGGTGAGGTTTCGTAGTAGAGTCCTTTCTCTGGTGCTGTGAAGGGATTCCTCTGTCATCGTTTCCTAGATTGCTTGTTAAGTGAGATATTGCAATGAAATGGCTTTACTTAGCTTCTCAAAAAGACATATTGTGCGAGCTTCGTTGCGTATTTGCTTCCCTAGTTATCCCTCTAAATCATCTTGCCTTCTAGAATTAGAACACAGCTTGACCAGCTTCATCCTCTTGAATTTTGGTGAATTTCTAGTGAAAATCATTTTTCGAGATTCCTTGCGCTGAAGGGCTGGGTGAGCAGTTACGGTGCTCATCTCAAATGCTCGTAATCGGATCCGACACTTTGCTACCTCGGTGTGTCTCTTACTAATACGGTCTTTCTAGTCGTGCCCAGCTTTTCAAAATGTTTTTTTTTGCATTATTTAGGGACATTTGCATGAACATGAAAGTATGCTTTATTACTCGTAGCGGCCCTCTGAACGGCAAAAGAAGCATTGGAGGATTCCCGATTGGTTCGATCTCACGTGGTAACAAAGTTTTGCATTTCCGATTGACGCCTGCGTGATGTCCCAAAATGGTACAGGCTGTTCGTAGTATGTACGGTACTATATGGATGGTTTTGCCAAAACTCGATGTGGGCTTTCTTAACCCATTTTCTGGTATTCAGAGGGCCGTTCAGGAAAAATGAACCATGGTTCTGTGGTTCCGCATGTGCCCCTATATCATGCAAAATAAACCGTTTTCTAAAAGTTGGGCACGACCTTAAACACCTTCTTTATGAGAAACGTGTCATATTTGATTCGCTTCGGATCTTTCCGTCCGTACCCTACAAGGATTGGGTTTGGGCCAGGGTGAATATCGGTCGAGGAAATCCTCGACAGGGGGTCGTACCTGTCAGGCTGGGTCATGGGGGGTCGTACTCGTGGGGGTCAGTAACATCAGTGGCATCGTGGTGCAGATAGGAGTAAGAGGGTGTAGCGCAGCAGAAAATGAAGGATATGTGAAAAACATGATATAAAATATTCTTTGCAGGTTCAGTCGCTCCATTCCTCTGTCTTTACGAGAAGGACGTATTTGAAAGATTCTTAGGAAAGGTGTCGCAAAAACGGCAACCGTGAAGGAAAGGCCCTGGGCAAATGAAGCTGTTCCTCAGGTTATAGGAGTTACGAAATGTGTTTACTACAATGCAGCTTCTGTCAACTGGTCATGATCATATAACACCTTCAATCGATTCTGCAACTTCGAGTGAGGTCGGATGCATGGCCTATACCCAGACAAAATCGGATGATGACGATTGCCCCTTTTCTTATTGCTTATGTTGGAAGAATGTATTCTAGACACATTTCGAGCGTTGCCAACGAATTACACTTGCAATGGTGAAGAAGGGAGCGGCTTTTTGAGTGGCCGAGAATCATCCTCGATAGATCCTCGACGCAAATATCTCCTCAACTAGAAATGTAGAAGGAAGCTAAACAGACTGTTAGAAAGCGCAAACCTTCCGCTTTCCAAAACTGTCTTTTTTTCAAGATCTTACGAAATTAGAGAGATATTGCCTTTTAAGTGGCAAAAACTCGCATGAAAAATTCAGCATCCTCGACGCTGCCTCGACAAAATTTGAGAGACCCTATCTCTTCGAGTGTAAAGCTTTTAGATCAATTTCAATATTGCCCGGTAGTAGCAAATCCAGCTCTATCTAACCCTACCACATACTGCTCCAAAGGTTATGAAATGGAGGAATGGAACCTTTTCATCGAGGGTGTAGATTTCGACGGGATTTCGGCAAATCTGACCCAGGGACAAATCGCGCCGCAGCTGCCGTTGAATCGGCCGTTGATCGATACACTCGGCTGTTGTGATTTTGCGTATGCTCTGTTTTAGGGGGGTCGTGCCAAGACCTCGATTTCAAGGGGGGTCGTACTTCTGCGACCACGTCCTCGACACGATTTCCACCCTTTGACAACTTTTCCCGCTGTTTGGGCCTTTCTCATTTGACTAGTTATGTGGAGACTCGAGATATTTCGTGATTCAACTTATACTAAATATTCACATTCGGG